GCAATTTTCATCAAAACTACGTCACAAATTGCGTATTACCATGGCAACCTTGACATTTATTTGAGATTGATATTGCTATAGCCTATTTACATAAGATCGGAAGTTTTTTTTTCCTTCCGTTTGCGATTGAGTTTGGTCAAGTATCATCTGTCATATTTGAATATCGATCCTTTTCAGCACAATTTGTATCCAAGGTTACCACTTATTTAAGGAATAACTGTCTTATTTTTTGGATTCATGATGTGATCAATCGAGTGGCTTGCGTGATAATTTGCATAAACGCCGAAGGCGTTTATGCATAAAATTATCACGCAAGCCAATCGATTGATCATCGTCATGAATCCAAAAAATAAGACAGTTATTCCTTATATTTACATGCTCCTGATTCTGCAAATTCCCGTGCTAATAGCCCCGCTTCTGTCTCTATTTGTCCCGCCCCGCACGTGATTTTTTTTTAACCGCGCCTATCGATGAACCAGTAGATTTATGTAGAAATAAAGTATTTTTACAATTTGTAATTTTATCTCGGACAAAGACATTGGAAATGTAAATATTTAGCGATATATTCTAAATAATTTCTTTACAGTACAGGTGACAACAAGGTAAATTGCTTTGCGCAAGTGGTCAGTTCGTTTTTGGTCTTTGTTAAGGCTCAATAAAGATTCAAAATAGCTGAAATTCTCTATTTTTTCAAATAACTACCAAAATACTTAGCAACCAAATTTTGTTTGATATACATATATATGTTTCTGGTGTCAGGCCATAATGTTGAGCAAAGTTTCCTCAAATGAAGCGAAAATTCGTGCCAAAAAAAGTTTGTAACAGATAATAGCATTTAAACAATATCAAACAGATTTTGACTTATTTTCAAAGAAAATATCATTATAATTAATATATAATTAATTTAAGTCTGAGTTCATAATTTTCCAAACCAGTCAGGTCTTTTAAAGTCTACGAACATTTTGGTCATTGCTGTTACGTGCACGACGGAGTTGTCGTTACATCCACAGAACATCATCATTACAGTATACGTTGTTGATGAAAAGCAACAGAAAATCTTGAAAAATAATGACAGATTCCTTCTGTACCGACTGCTATTTTTCAGAATGTTAATTAACAGTAGAATTTGAATTCACCGCCGTATTAATATAAAACTTGTGGGACTCGGTGAACCCTTTCAAAGCAGAATATCTCGGGAAAATATCTACATGTACTGGTCTAACCTTGTAATTATATATTTTGGAATATTAAGCAAAAAAGTGATGACCTTGGTGCTGTCCGTATGCGTGGGATAGAACTGCAATTTATAACGATATTTATGACGATGAATATCACTCAGATTAAGGCAAAAATGATATAAACACATAAAAAATTTCTTTATTCTGGTTTCATTTCAATTCACTTTCCCTTTTCTTCTTTCTCTCCTCTGGCTTGTATTGTCTTTCGTGTCCCCTTTTCTTCTTTCTCTCCTCTGGCTTGTATCGTCTTTCGTATCCCATTTTCTTCTTTCTCTCCTCTGGCTTGTATTGTCTTTAGTGTCCCCTTTTCTAGTTTGTATTGTCTTTCGTGTCCCCTTTTCTTCTTTCTCTCCCCTGCCTTGTATTGTCTTTCGTATCCCCTTTCCTTCTTCCTCTCTTCTGAAGACATAACGTATTTCAGGTTTTAACATTTTTAAAACCTGGGTGGGTCTTAATACAAAAAATGGAACATGACACATATTTTGTCATGAAGCACGTGCATGCATTGCGAAATTTATCAATTTGTCATAAGACATCATTACTAATTTTAGCAACACGTTATGGTTTTTTGTTAAGCTCATCATGCTGTACATGTAATTTTTACGGAAGTGATGATGCAATCGTGATTTAGTCTTATTCTAAATAAATAACAATTAATTGTTTACATTGCGTGCATGCTTTATCTGTCAATTAGAACAATTTTGTTTATCTTTACATTTTCCTGTTTTGTTTAATACTTAAAACACATGTAAGTACTTCTTCCAGTTCGCCATTGTACTCTTTAACTCATCTTGATATGGTGCTTTACCAGAAAAGGGCGGGATTTTCCTCTTGAGAATATCATGATTTAAAAGTAAATTACATGTAGTGAATAGAAGGGAGAAAAGCAGGTCAATTTTGGTTTGGGTTGTCCCTTATTAATTTTTTTTCCTTGTCAGGGATAGTATGCAAGAATATCAAATGCAATGAAAAGAGGAAATTTATTACTTTATACTTTTTTATCGCCACCTAATTGTTCTTTCACAATGTACAATTAAAAATCCTGTGAATGAATCTGAGAAAAAAAAGAATATAACACGTAAACGCTTTAATTTTCAAATTTGCAGACTATGTTGACCTAATAAGTTGACCCTCCAAGGCAGAACATTTCCCTAAAAACCTTTAGTACTAGATATCCTATGACTTAAAGAACAAGGTTATTAATCTGTGTTCATGTCCATAAATATAAGAAAAGAATGAATGAAAAAAAAAAATCAAGGATTTTTAGCTGTTGTGCACTACGAATTTGCTTGTAAATTTCATACTCACGGCATTTATTTTACTCGTCTTTCTGAGGATCTATGTTAAAAATTTATACCAGCTTGTTAAAAATTAACCTTTCCATAGTCCATGTCTTTTTATTTTGGCATTTTCATTTCCCACGTACATGTAGTATATGATTTTAATTACTTTTTAAGAACGGAATTGAAGACAATATGGGGATATGCCTAATATATTCATTTGTATCTGCAAAATCGAGGATTTCGTATGGTAGTGCATGGAGTTCATATGTATCTTTACAATGATATATGAATTAACATGGGGATGAAAGAAATTCATATGTACTTGTGCATTGTAGAATATTTGGATTCAAATTCAAGTCCAAATGAAAGTGATTCATATGCGAATCCAAATAAAATGGATTCAAATCCTAATGAAATGGATTCATTTGCAAATCCAAATGAAATGGATTCATTTGCAAATCCAAAATCCAAATGAAATGGAATTCATTTGCAAATCCAAAGCAAAAAGATCATAATTCATATCAAGATAAAGATTCTCATAAGTTCTATGACTTCTTTTGTTGACATCAAGTGCGACGTAAAATCCGTACGTATGTGAGTATCGTTCACAATACGGTTGATGACAATAAGCAAACTGAAAACCCGCAGTCACTGCAGATGCAGGAGAAGACATAGCCCCCCCCCCCCCCCCCGTTTTTTAAAAAATTTTTTTATTTCATTTCATTTTACTTGAAAAATGCCAATTTCATTGATTGATATATCTGTGAACATGTTAGCAACTCTATTTTTGAAACTTGCTGTAGACATACTTTACTTCGCGTGCTTTGTATCTAATTCTATTAAGGATAAAAGAATTTTTATAAAGCTTTATTCAAATATTAAAACTTAATGCGCCACTTTTACATTATATATATTTAAAAAAATACCATAAACAATAACTGACAGCAAGTTTTGTTTTAATTGAAACCTGTTGCATGTATGTACACTGCGTTCTTTGCTATGATGCTTTCAGTGGCGAATATATGCACATTCTAATAGTCTTTCGATACATAAATATATTCACTACTTATAGTGTTATCAATTGCTATACCATGATTTCCATGCCCATTCACATCAAAGCTTTTTTACATATTCAAAAAGCATGCAGTAATTAATCGCCTGGTTTTCTTTTAAAAATCGGGTTCGATGCCATATGACGTTCCAGAAATTTTCTCCAAGACTAAGATCGGGGACTGACAAAAACGATTTTGTTTTTTTTTTTAATCCACTTATTTCTTCTATAATATTTAAACAAATTTTGATTGAATAATTCACTAATGACGTTGTATCAAATAATTAAATGATTGCTTGTTGTCAGTTTCATTCAAAATTACAAGTAAATTTAGATCCGCCAACCGTAACCACCATTATACTCTCTTTTTTGCTCTTTCACTGCAGGCTATCGAAAGCGAAAGTAGAATTTTACTTAAATTTACGATCATAACTATTCGAGTGAAATCGAAATATAGTTAACGGACATCATCTTGTACTTTAAGTAATATTAGAGGAGTAATATGTTCTTTGGTACAGGCGTTTCGAAATTTATTAATTCATAAGTTTAGATTGATTATACCTCTTTAAAACTTAAGTGGCCCTTAAAAAATTTAAGTGTTTAATGACAAAAACCTTCATAGATCTGACAAATAGACCTAGTTATATCTAAAATAATTTGAATTCTTTGAGTACATCCTATGAAGTGAACATATTCTTAAAGAAAACAAAATTAGGAAGTTTCGTGTCTCAAAACTAAATGTTGATCAGATGTACTGATTATTATGCGCCATGATTTTTATGATCACATAGGATTGAAAAATAACTGTACGATATTTTTTTTAATTTTGGTTATTTTACATAACAGAATTCCATTACAAATCGCTTTACTTTATAGAATCCAGCCTGCAACAGACCGTGAGTCATATTTGATGCCAAGCAGGCCCGTGGTGACGGATTCAAAAGTGGGAGGGGGCAACTTAAAAAAAAAATGTGACAAGTAAAAAACAAAACAAAACAAAAAATAAATTAAAAAAAAAAACAAAAAACAAAAACAAAAGAAAAAAAAAACAAAACAAAAACAAAACAAAAAAACCTAAACTGACCAAAAGTTGGGGGGGGGGGGGGGGCAACTTCCCAATATTATCTGACAAGCAGAAAAAAAAGCTAATTTACTGTCCATATCCTGGAATTTGCCAGACTGAGTGCTCAGTCTTACAACATCAGAAAGTAGGGAGCCAACCAGTATCTAAAGTAAAATTAAATATATAGCAAAATACCACACTCAGAAAAAAGTGTGGGGCGGGCCCCCTGCCCCCCCCCCCCCCCACGCGTTCTAAGGGCCTGCCAAGGATTACTTTTGCGAATCTACATGTACGTACATGTATATAAAGTTAATAGCTGATCGAGCTATCCAGACGAAATTGATTTATATCACGAAAATAAAAACCTGTTTTGTCATATTTTATTTAACGATAAAATTTAATTTAAAATAAATAAGCATCTGAAACATGAAATTATACAGCAATCAGATAAATTAATGATAAAAAAAAATAGAAGTCATGTAAAAACTTCAGTATGTCCTGAGTTTTCTGAAGCAGCAAATGTTGGCTAGCTTGTTTCTGAATTTGAGATCAAAATACCCGTACACCAGCGGGTTCACAATGTGATTAACAATGAAAAGTCTCTGTAAGGTAATGTAGACATTAGATAAAACCGGAGAGAGTCGGTTGTAGTAGTTCGGATCTCCTCGGCTAAGGAAAACGAAAATGAAAGACGGGAAGTACGACACAGCGTAGAACAGAACCAAAATGGCGAACATCATGTTGAAGTTGGTGCGGTTCCGTGTGCGAGATTCCTGACGGTTAAGTCTGACTTTATCGAGTTCGCTCAGGGTGGGGAATTTCTTTTCTTTGTCACTGTTGTCACTGATGCTGCTCTGAGTCTCAGCCACAAAAGAAAACGCCCGGCTCCTAGACCTTGCTCGCGCCAAACTCTTGTTTTGTTTGGAGAGTTTATATATGACGCAGCCAATGGGTATGTAAAGACCTGTAGTTGCAATGATGTTGCCAACTGCGACCAGAAAGACAAAAATCAGGTAAGCTTGTTCCATAGATTTGTGACCAGAGTTCCCTGTAAAACAGGCACTGACAGTAACGTTGTAGCCTTTATATGGCGTCTTGAAGTTTCGTATTCCAGCGAAATACAGGATGGGGACATTAATTGCAACGGACACTACAACAGTCAGAATAATCGCGCCTTTTTTCAGTTTGGAGCTTAGTTTGTCTCCGGGTTGTTGGCGCACTTTTATGAAACGGTGAATTGCTATCATCAGTAACAACATTGCGGAAGCTGTTGAAGTGCTCCACATGAAAAACAATGGAACTTTGCAGAGGATGTCCGATTGGACGCTCTTGACAACAAGAGTCTTGATGCTGTGATACAAACACGTCACAATGGTCGCCAGCAGGTCGGCGACTGCCAGAGCGGGAATAAAGAACCTGTCCTCACGACATCGTCTCATTTTGAAAACGTACACATATATCACAGTAGTGTTACCCACAATTCCTACTATTAAAAAGATCAACAAGAGGGACACGTGTGGCAGGTTCCTTTGCGCCATGTATTCCTGCCATTCCTGAACGAGGTCGCTTTCCGTAATGTTTTGAATCATTTTGAATTCTTTTCTCCAGTTATGTCACTGACAGCCAAAAAAATTCACTTCAGAGCAGAGTCAGTGGAATTGTGTTTTCAAACTAAATAAAAAGTATTAGTACCTCTTTTGTCTTAAACTCACACGCGATTTTTCCCTCGGAGAATCCTTCTCCCTGGTCTTTGGGTTTTGAATCTCATTTTCAAACTTAAAAGTTAATTTGTTAATTTTCACGTGTTTTAAGCACAAATATATTCGCTCTATTAGATGTGAACGTCCTGCAAACATGAAAGGCGCCCAACAGAATGAAACCACACCGCTCAAAATGCACAGGAAGAGAGTCCCGAGCAAAAATAGTTATTCACATCCGGGCTTCCAGGTCACGACCTTTCTTTCTGTTTTCTGTGTTTGTACTGATCTGTTGTTCTAGAAATAAAAAAAAAGCATCATAATTAAAAACTTATAATTTAAACAATTTTTTTTTTCTGGGACAGAAGTTAATTCAATTTAATTAATTATGGAAGGGGAAAAATATTCTTTAATACTATCCAAAGCAAATGTTTACTAATGAAATGAATGTCATTTAAAAATATCATTTTCTTTCATTTTTAGGGCATGTTTGGAATAAAGAACAATTTATTGAAAAGAGATATACAAGTATTTCTAAAGTTGGAGGGAAAAGCAATCCTTTAATTCTTATATAATTGTTATGAGAACAAATAACCACGTAACATTTCATTGTAAGGGACCACTTTCAATATTCGAGAGAGACAGAATATTTTGTAAAGTACAATAAGAATTTTTCTATAATATGATTATCATAAAATAATTCTATCTAAATTAAAAGGTAAGCAGGTGAAATAACATAAAAAAATTGAAATTGAAATTAAATAATCTGTTACACAAGCTTTTTAGTTATATAATCAATGATACCAATGTAAGAATTCATTTGAGAGGTCTTTATTGTGTTTAATTCTTCATATCTTTCTTTGACTATGTAAGCTAGGCTAATTATAGTTTGTTTGATGCTGAAACAATCACGTGAAAATAATAACTCTTTTTTCAACAAAACGAATTTCTAGGTCAATCTGTCACTTGCGTAAGAATTATAAGAAAGGATTGTATTTTTGATAACACATTGATACAAAAAGTACAACCTTTTCTTATTATAATCGTTATGCAAATTTTTAGTTTGCTTCAGCTCCATAAATTAAAAAAAAAGTCTTACATCTTGATGTAAGCTACCTGTAGGAAAAACCCTCTGTTCGTATCCTTATCCAGAACCTAAATATAGTATGACGTCATCCTGACATTGCATTTATCATTTCTTCGAAAAAATTACCTATAAGTACATAGTTTAGAAGGTATAATATATTTTGTCAGATCTCTGTTAGATTGTGGTTTAAACAAACTTGGACCTTAAGTCCTTTTATCCAGTGTGTGAGACCGCCAAACATGAATGTACATGTAGCAGTGCCATTTCTAGATGGGGGTTGTAAGGCCCAGTAAATTTGGGTGAGTGTCCCTCCTATAAAATTCTATAGGGTAGTTGAACTGAAGAATTTAGCTACCCTCAACTATAACCACATCTGACTACTACTTTTTTTGGCCGTATACTTAATTTTTATAATTAGTTATGGAAAATAAGTAGCTTATTTGCTTTCCTATGTATCGGTTGATGCCAGAATATTTATATTTTTAAGTGAAACAATGCCCAGATTATCCACAGTTTCCTTATTTATAGTGCCAGATCATTATTTAGTTTTAGTTGCCCCCTACCCGTCAATAACCTACAGTTTTTTTTTTATAGATATGATTTTATTGAAGACTTTAAAATACAATTGATCATGTGCTGAATCATATATCAACATTTTCTATTCAGAAAATGATATAGTAAACTAGCCTTAGAAATTTTTTTTTAATACGTATTTTACCTGTTATTTTTATCATAAATTTAAAGTATTTCAAGTAATTTCAAAATACTGATGAAAAGCACAAAACTGATCAATTCTCTCTCTAAAAATAATATAGTACACAACCTTAAAAAATATTCACAAAAAAGTATAATTTCATGTCATAAAATATTCCCCTTCTTAGCAAGATGATATCGATTTCATACGTCTCCTAATTGCAAAATAATGTTATTTTTTGTAGTTTTATCATTGTATATAGTGTATATGGTGTATAAATACTCGCATTATTAAATATCTCATTTAAGCTGCATTAAATCATATTTCATGATGACATTAAATCCTATTTTATGATGAATTCTGGTGCAAACAAAATTTGGTCATTAACCTTCTGTCCATTTCACATAAACCCCATCATTTATCTCAGAACATATCTAAGATACACGCAGCCGGGGGACTTGTTAGGGGATCGTAAAGCCCGGAAACCGGAACAAAAAAGGAAAACCGCACTTCTTACTTAAACGACAGCGCCCTGGCAACGAGGTCGAAAGGTCAGAGAGGGACAAACCACAACCATGAAGTGTTATCCCCCAACAATTATTTGACCTATAATTCATATTTCCTCATAGTATACAGTACCCGTCTTGAAAAACAGCTTTTTAATGAATTCAATAGTAAACTATTCATTTCATTTTATTTGTTACTTTTTCCAAATTTTGAACGATTTGCTTCGAATTTTTTTAACCGTTTCTCTGAAATAACACTTTTTCCAATTTTATTTTTGTAGCCTTTATTTGTGGCAGTGAATATAATTCGCATTTAAGCTTTCAACCAGCCCCTATAATTTTCTGGGTGATATTGTGCAATGACGAACTCGCGCACAAGTACAGGGACACATACCTATATGATGTTTTGTATTTTTTTTTTTTTAGCAAATTTTCCGGGTCAACTCAGTACGGCCACTTTTGATTTCATCGCAATGAGGATTCCTTGCAGGTTTAAAGTAGAAAACATTAAAGCAACAATCAAGCTACACCCATGAATTGAGTACATTTTGAATAACATAGTTATTCTGACCTATATTCTCTGTAAGGTAATAGACATATTTACTAACCATTACACAATCTTTGTCGTGTATTGTCATATTTGCCGAAAATTGTACAGCGGTATGCCGCTACTGTAATAAAAAGCTTTGGACAACACATATGAAGTTTTGTGGAGTTTACACTGCCTTGAAATCTTGGTTTTTTTTTCAAATAATTATTTTCAGATATTATGAAAATTTGAACTTTTTAAATAATGAAGCAAACTCGCTGATAAAAGGAAGAGTCACTTAATTAGCATTAAAAATGAATCAATTAGATACATTAGTTCCTTTTTGCTTAAAAACAATTTAATATTGAAAAATAATTGGGCATCAGTTGGAAAAACCAACGGACAGTGATAAGACGATTGAAACAATTATTCACACACACACATTAAACAACAACAACAAAAAAAAAAAAAACAAAATCATTAAATTCTGCTGCAAACAGACAGATTTATCCATTCAAATGCCAGTCAGTAATCAGGAAATTTAACAACTCTTATTGATAAAGTACTTTCACGTGTTACTGATCAAGAAATAAAATTGTTTTCCTCGTTTTCTAATTCGAAATTCCAAAATGTTTTATGATTCGCTGTTAAAATTTATTAACAGTACATTCATCATTAAACTATATACATGTACTTATTAATTATCAGTCAACATAGATCCACATATCACATATTTAGTAACACTTTAAATTTCTCTGTCGTATACATGATCATACAATTTAATTTCTGAGAACACCCGAAGGTAGTTGCGCACAAAGTGTGCATCGTTTAATTTCAAATGGTTTCAAATAACAGCTGGTACGTATCTATTTATAATTAAGAGTCGATATTAAAAAGATGCTTGAATTTCTTATTGGCAATTTCTATGTAGGTTTGGAGATCAGGACTTCCAACAATTCTGTTGAAGCTCCCATGGGTACTAATTGCGCCCTGTTAGTTGTAGACCTGTTTCTGTACTCATCTGAAGCAATTTTTTTCTCAAAAATTTCAACATGAAAAAAGAGATCTCTTGCTGTGGCCTTCAATTAGACATTTAGATATATCGACCAAGTTTTTTTTTCTTCAAATTACAATATTCATTTCTATTCCTATGTTGGTTTGACATATCCCTTTGAGCTTGAAATAAAAGACACCACAGAGTCTGGCACATCTGTTCATATCAGTTTGGATATTTTGCTAGAGAAGGACATTAATAGTAAACTATCAACTAAACTTTACGTCAAACGTGATGATTCAACTTTTCTATCGTCAACTTCCATTATTTATGTAGCAATATACCATTATCACCTGCATATGGAGTTTATGTCTCCCAGTTGATTCGAAACGCAAGAGAATATTCTACCTACGAAGAATTTCTAAAACGAGGCAAGCTATTGACAAACAAGTTGATGATGAAATATGTGGAGATAACGAACAGTATTCGAGCTCAAAAGCCCATTAAACATTACAAAATAGGAGCAGAGCAAACACGGACCTCTAAGACATCAAAGGTGGGATCAGGTGCCATGGAGGAGTGAGCATCCTCTGCCAACTGGTCACACCCGCCGTGTGCTCCTTGTCATGATCGGGAAATAACGGAAAAAATCAGTGTGTAAATGATGGATTAACAATTAGTATGAAAAAAGTCAGTCAGCATTTGACTTAATGATAGATTGCATTTGCTGACAAGGTCATTGTATCGACCATAGAACTTACGAAATGATGACTTTAAACGAGACTGCTGATATTCTTGTTTCATCAACTTGTTTGTCAATAACTTACCTCGTTTTAGATATTGTTCATACGTAGAGCATGCTCTGGCGTATCGAATCAACTGAGAGATATCCAAGGATATCAGCAATTTTGTTTAAAGTCAATATTTCGCAAATTCTGTGGTCGATATAATGACCTTATTATAATAAATACAATCTATCGTTACATCTAATGTTGACTGACTTTTTTCGCACAAATGGTTAGGCCATTATTTTCACACTGAATTGTCTAAGGATTTTACCGTTTATCCGATCATGACAAAGACCACTCGGCGGGTGTGACCGGTCAACAAGGGATGTTTGCTTCTCCATTGCGCCTAGTCCTATCTCTGATGCTTTTAGAAGTTCGTGTTTACTCATCCCCCAATTTATATTTCTTCAATGGACTTTTGAGTTTGATTGCCAATCGTTATGATAATCTTCATATATTATACAATTCTAACTTGACAATTGACTGATCAATGAATCAGTAAAAAAAGTACCTGTACTGGCATAATTTTAACTCCGGTTAAGGTAATCATGTGCATACTTAGTCTACCGATCCGATTTCAACTTAAAAAAAATCCACACTGGGAGCATGTAGTTTTCTTTATGATTTCCCTGCACTGAAGACCAATGATGCTTGTTCTCAAAGAAGGTGAGAAAAT